AATGAAAAAGTGGCATAAAACAGTGTGATTGAGAGCAGTGGCATGAACACACTTGAAATACATACCTATGGCGTGAAGACGCCTAGATTTGGCGTGACCACGCCGCCCAGTTTAGAACCCAATGTCACCGAGCTAGGATTAAGTGTAACCACGCCAACAAGAGGGAAATCATGTTTGGAAAGAAATTGGCTTACCAAATTCATAGATATAGATATAAGAGAGAAGAGGAGAGTTCTAGGATGGCTTAAGACAAAGATTATGAGAGATTTTAAGTGTTTCGCTTAAGTTTTCGTCTTTCCTTGAGTTGAAACCTTTGGGCTGAGTTCCACCTTATATTCTTGAGAGTTTTGAGAGAGAGTTTGTATGAGAGAGAGAGGTGCTGCTCTTGTGGAGAGACAATATCTTGATTGTAAGTTTTGCTTTCTTTTGTATTTTGCAATGAATATCTGTTTGGCTTTCTTGTCTGTGGTTTTCTCGATGATGCATGGCTAAAATTTTTTTATCTCTCTGTAATGTAGGGGTAGTGGTTTTTAATGTGGTTTTGTGAGATGTTTTCTTATAGTATTTTTCGTGCTTTCATGGTAACCTCCAAATTTTATTTACTCCTAGTTTGGCTAACCATGATGTTAAAATCTTTCATGAAGCTATGACCTTTAATTATTGCATAGCAAAAACAAAATGGTTAACAACAAAATTCTGAGATCATAAACATATTATAGTAGAATTATGCAACATTTTATAAGGATCAGAATATTTCTACGAAATGTCATGGGGATTGAGGAAATCTCAACTTCATGGATTCTAATTTTCTTTTAACCTTGACACAAACATAAGGAGAACTTATATCCTCGGTTGACAACTATTATGTAGGAAAACATTTAGGAACACCACGATCCACCATGATCTTCAAAGCACAGAGTCACGAGGCTCATCGCTCTCCAAAGATTTTCTCCGTTTTCTATGTTTCTACAGTCTGCTCTCTAATTTGTTTTGTTAGGATTTTAAGATTCAGACCTTTTTAGAGAGCACACTAAGCTAGGTTCACAAGATTAGTAAACTAACGATTATTCAGTATGAATAATTATTAAACATTTTCTCGTATGATTGATACACAGACTCTTAGACCGCATACTACTTGACACGTGCACTTGCATTGTACAGCCAACTACTTCGCGAAAAGTTTTAATACATCAACCACCCTGCTCATACCTCCTTAACTGTCCGACTATCACCAACATCGTCGGAACATCATCTCTTCCCCACATTATCATCAACGGGTTACTATAGTTGTCATGATGGAACATCGTCATTGTTTTAACCATGGATGCCTAACCAATAACGTTGTTGTCAATCTTCAATCAAAGCATTAAAAGGTGTGAACATCTTAGATAACTCGAGTCTATTATTCAAAGTGATGATAACATAGATGGGATGTTATTAGTAGAATTCAAGTTGGTTGGTAGAAGTGGAAGAATTCATAAGTTATATTGTGTGATAGAAAAGTATCTTTTGGAATGAAAATAAAATTTTATAAGATGGTGGCGAACTTGCAATGCTCTATGGCGCAAAATGTTGGCCTTTAAAAAGAACCCTAAAACAAAGTTGTGTTGCTGGGATGAGAATGCTTAAGTGGATGATTGGCTTGACACATACATACAAACTGCGAAATGTATATATCATTATAGGGTTGGTGTAGCTCCAGTGGGTATAGCTCCAATGGCAAACTACATTAGAGAGCCGTCTTAGATGGCTTGGTCACACTAAACGTCAACCATCTGATGATTTGATTAAGAGAGTAGATGTTTTAGATTCAACTTATGTTAAAAAAATCAGAGGTATACTTAAAAAGACATGAGCCTATTGTATAAAAAATGATTTTAATTTATTATAATTAAATGAAAATATGACCGTCGATATGACACAATGGAGAAAAATGATCCATGTAGCAGACCCCATTAGTAAGATAAAGGCTTATTGTTGTTGTTGTTGTATAAGTTTTCTACCACGCAATAGTTATCTTTGATAAACATATGACCAACCAACTTTCATGTCATGCTCTCCGTTCCATGCTTCAAGAGTTAATGAAAAAATTCTTCAATTTAAGGTTCATTACTAAAATACATATGCATCCTCTTTTATTTTGCTTTAGCATAGATTCTCCCATTATATTCTTCTACCTATAGCCTATCCCTCCCCCCAGTGGAACACCCCCAAATCTTAAAGATAAACTTCACTCCTTTAGCTATTAGTCATATTCTCCTCTCAAATCAATCTCCCCTAATTCCTTCATTATCTTATTTGAATATTGAGATTAATATTCCAAGAGAAAAAAAAAAAATAGTTCAAGGTACACTTAGTGGCAAGGATCAAGTAGAAAAAAAAAAATCAAATTATTCAAAATTATTCATCCAATTGCCTTCCACGTTCCAAAATTTATTTTCATATTAATTGCTTAGATCTAATTCCATGGGACCACTGCCACAATATATGGCTCATACACATACATCATAAAATAAAAAAAAAGAAAAAAAAAAAAAAAAAAAAAAAAAAAAGGGAAAGAAAATAATTGATCGCCACAATATATGGCTCATACACATACATCATAAAATAAAAAAAAAGAAAAAAAAAAAGGGAAAGAAAATAATTGATGCACCAAAAGGCCCTTCGGAGCACATTCTTATGCCATTAACATAGATTTTATTCATATGCCGTTTATTGTTTTATAATCCCTTTTCGCAATGCTTTATTGCCATTACAACCATTTTCAGCACAACAAAGATAACAATTCTCTTTGAGGAATCTCAACATGGCATCACGCAATTCTCTAAGAAGACAAGCAATGACAGCAATAATCTAATATTCTAATTGCATGGATATAAAATTTAATATATTTGCATTTATTAGGATTATATGAATCTATAAACCATTAGATTTTTTAAGCTATATAATAAATTTTAAGTTGGGGGAAGAAAGTGATTTGTACAAGACTAAAAAATATGGAAGATTTACAACATACCACCTTCCATATGCTTGAAAAAGTATATTTTACATTTTCAAAGATAACACGGTGATATTTTTTATGCTATAAGACAGGGTTTAGATGGAATAACTATAAAAAATGTATGTTTAGGTGATAGATATGTAAATACAAATGAATTAGGTGATATGTATGTAAATGCCCTAAAATACATATACAAATAAAATCAATGAAAAAAAAAGTAACAAAACTATTAAAAAAAAACCAATAAATGCAAACAAATAAAAATCATGTTTGAGGAGGGTATTTTTTGAATTTTTTTTTTATTTCGCTTACAAGATTCCATCTGCTTTAGAAAACAAAATCACAAGGCTTGCAGCATTATTCTTTACAAATACTTGCAATGCCATTACTCCTATTACTCCAACATAAATTAAACAAAAAAAAAAAAAAATCTATATTTTATAATTTATCGACTCTTCTTTAGAGGGAAGAAATTTGTGAACGTGAGACGTACGCAGCGTTGCGTACTTAATGGAGGTTATATGGGCGTTATATCGACATTATATTCGCGTTATATCATTTGTAACTTCCATATAACTTCCATATAATCTACATGTAACCTATAAATATGTGAAAACAAAAGTGCGGAACTTATTTGTAAGTTGAGATATGTTACAGATTAGTTATATATAGGTTACAAGAGATTTACCTGCTCATACATTTTGCAGGGTGAAGCCACTCGAAATATCACATCAATAATTTGTATTCACACTTCGAAATTAATAGCTTAACGTTGCAAATATACATACATAGATACACATATGTAAATGTATATATTATTTTTATTTTTAGCTTATTATTATTATTATTATAATTATTATTTTGAAGTGACGAATCGAGAATAGACAGTCGACAAGACAGGCAATTCCAAATTCCCAAGAAAAAAATTTAAATAAATAAGAGATTTAATTGTTCGCAGGAAATCAAAAAGGAATCAGGTCCAGTTCTGGCTGAAACTGATTTAACTCCCATCAGTCCAGTCATGCAGCAATGGCGAAGACTGAAAATCAAAACTTTCAGATATAAATCTCATAAAACACGTGCAATCCAGAAGACTGATTAAGAATCAAAAATACCCCAAGAATTCTCTCTAGCATTAACATATTTTTTTAAATTTATGCTATTCCCATCTAGCTAATTGCTTTGACAAACTGTTATTCCATTCACATTATGTTACACGAGGAACATTTCTTTATAGAAGTGGTCAACTTTAGAGCTGAAAGATGATTCCTTGGAATTTTTCTTGAGCATTTACAACATTACAATATTCATCAATGTACATAATTTGGTACTTGGGTGTGTCCTGATTATAATTGGTGTATGCTAATGTTTTATAACATTTTTCTCTTCAACAATCATGTCAAAGTGTTATTGCCAAAAAAAAAAAAAAAATACCAATGTAAATTAAGTCATAAAATGCAGCAATTCAAGCAAAATAATCTAAGGCAAATAGGAATATCCGAGGGCAAAACTAGTAATTAACAATATAAGGCCCAAATAAATAAATGAAAACATTTGGCAATAAAATTTACCAGTGTAGATACGGATGAATTGAGCAGATTGCACGTTACGACTCAGATGCAACTGAAAAAGAGAAGCAAACTGGACAAATGAGCTGCTCCCACTAAGAGTGAAACAACAAGTCAGCACCTATCCTGTTATTATTATTATTATTAGGGAAATTTACATACATACCAGACAACTCTTATCTATTTACATCTCTAACACCTAAACATTAATATTTACATTCATAACACTCAGATCTTTAACATCACATCAAAAGTATCACTTTTACAATAATTTAAAAGTCAAATTAAATGCACATAGATTTATAACACAAATGTGTTATGAATGTAAATATCAAACTTTAGGTGATATATATCTATATATATCCTTAAGAATTATGAGAAACGTATATAAATTTATTATTATAATTATTATTTATCTTGTTGTGGGCATGGTGAATGGCAGGCATAAAGTTGGAATAGGAGGGGGATCTGAAACCGGAATCTTTGCCAACTTCAAAGATTTTATCAACAAAACTAACTGGCACCAAGCATAGAATAGTATTTAAAGTCACAATATATCAACACCAATCATAACTAATTAAACAATACCCCCTAAAAAAATACACATACAAAGCGGTCAACTTGACGGTCTCCCCACCAACAGAACTTTTGACAGAATTCTCCCGCGGATACTATTTGGCAATCTTTTCATCTTTCAGCTCCCTTTAAAACTTCCCCCAACTCCGTCATATCTCCACCAAACTCTCATTCCCAGTCTTTCAATTTCTGTAACATGGTGGTGGTATCCATGGATCAAAGCTCAAAAACTCGCCAGATCCCAGTTATTGACCTCTCCCTTGATCGGCCACTCATCTCACAGCACATAGTGAAGATCTGTGAAGAATTTGGATTCTTCAAGGTAATAAACCACAGAGTGCCACCCAGAGTTTCAGCACAGTTGGAGGCAGCAGGGGGGGATTTCTTCAATTTACCAGCTGCAGAGAAGCAGCAGGCTGGTCCACCAAATCCACTAGGCTATGGTTGTCGAACCATTGGGCTTAATGGAGACATTGGTGAGATTGAGTACCTCCTGCTACCAGTTGATACATCTAGCGTTTCCCAGACAGCAAGGATTGTTTGCAAGAAAGATCCAAACAAGTTCAGGTAAGGTGCTACCACTCATATTTCTATAATACTGCATAGTTTAACAAATACATTACCAACTTGATTAGATTTTGTCCAGGCGGTTTTATGTGATCAGAGCTAGTAAAGCACTTGATTTGAAATTTGATATCCATTGGGGTTGAATAACTTAATATCTAACTCAAATAAACAAACTTATATTAAATAAAAAAAAAACTTGAATAAGAAAAGAAAACCATCATACTTGATCTTATGGAGTCAGCTGAAAAAAAGATGTTTATGCGTTGAATTTTGCAGGACTTTGGTCAAGGCCACATTCTTGATGATTATAAAATGATAGTTGTGATGGAAATATAATATAAAATGTCAATATGACAACTTATGAATTCAACTGTATGTCTGCTTAAGATAACTAAGCCGCCAAGATGAATGCAATCCAATTATAATTGACATTTTAACATCTTGCTATGCGCTGAGAAAAAAAAAATAGTTATAGACTTCAAGTTTACTACACAGGATTAAACAAAATTTATTTTTTATAACAAGAGATAGAATAGTGGTCAATTTTTTTTTTCTATTATAATACATTTTTGCAGAAGTAACCATCCATATATTTATATATATGCCATTCATCCTATTTTAATAGATATCATCAATTTCAATTAATTTATGTTCACCAACAATAAAATCATATGTGGTGAGTAAATAACAATTGGGGCATTTGCATACATAACACCCTATTACTACGTATTTATATATCTAACATCTAATCTTTGATTTTTACCTTTCTAACACCCAAATCTTTCATATCACATCAGAAATAACATCATTTTTAGTAAAATAGACCTTTTCATGGATAGGTAAGGTGACATGTTTGTAAAAATTAAAATTTAGGTGTTAGATATGTACATAAATAAAAATTGAGTAGTGTGCATGTAAGCCCTCCATAATTATTTAGATGCAGCATTATATAATTATACTTCTAATTGTCATAGACAATAATCAAATACCAATAAAAAATTACAATTCATTTAAACAATAATGATTAAAGCAATCTTGCTGCCGTTGGCCAAACCATAGCATCAGGCCTCAAAATGTAGAAGAAAAGTTAGGGCTTCTTCCAAGTTCCCAACCGCTATCCTAATGAACCAACTTGAGAAAACAAGCACCACCATTTTTCAGCAGAAACCCACATACCCCAATCGGATATAAATCACAGAAAAGAGAGATTGCGAGACCCACAAGCACAGTACAGCTCAATCAACGATGCCCAGCTTTTTTTATGTCCATATAAAGCCAAGCAATGATATGATAGCATGCAGGACGAGATATTTGGGGTAAAAAAAAGGTTTATTAAAAGTTGAGATTCCTTCAACCGTGGAGTAGTAGTAGTGGAGCTGGTACTGTATAACAAATCAAATCAAACTTTTCTTCATCTTTTTATCCTGCAAACTAACTTTTCCCAGATATTTCTGCGCACAGCTGCGTGGTGAAAGAGTATTTGGAGGCAATGAAGAAATTAGCTGGTGAGATCCTGGAGCTGATAGAGGAAGGATTAGGGCTGGGGGGCAGTGGAGTGCTTTGCAAGCTTATAAAGGGAAGTGGGAGTGATTCTCTTTTAAGGCTAAACCACTACCCCTCAAACAGCAACAGCAACAGCAACAAAAAAGACAAAGATATAAAAAGCAGGACGGGGAGCAAAAGAAAGGGCAGGGAAAGCAGCAGGATTGGGTTTGGGGAGCATACGGACCCTCAGATCCTGACATTGCTTAGATCCAATGGCATTGGTGGTCTTCAAATACTGGCACCGGTGTCAGGGGGCTTGGGCGGTGGAAAGACGTGGGTTGCAGTCCCACCAGACCCCACTGCAGTGTTCATCAACGTTGGAGATGCTCTCCAGGTTGGTCAATTTTCTTTTATTTTAATTTCCAGCAGCTTCTCATCAATGTGGCTTTTTTTTGTACTAGATGACTAATAGCTCCGCTCAATATAAGACTAAAAAATTACCAATTAAAAGGTGTGAATGAATAAGGCAAGCTTACGAATCTTTTATTAAGGACATTAAGTTAATTTAATTTAAAAATTTTTAAATTATCATTCAAGGCACTCCCCCAACTATATGGCCATAAAGGCTTGCGCCAGGCTCAAAAATCCTTTTTTAAGCACTTGATATTCTTTAATGATGTCTAGGCTGGGATCACAAGAAAATTCAAGCAAACTTCATTAATAAATCTAACCTATTATAGGTGTGCACAAATTTTTGGTGATTTGGGTTCGAACAAATATTATGGAAATTTGAACAGTTCTGCCCAGCCCAGATAAATCAAATGCTAAAAAATTTACAACTTATAATTAGCATAAACAAAACCTACCTAATGTGGTTCTCGTCAGCTTTTCCAGTCCTTGCTACAAAGGCCGCATTTAAAAAAATTATTCTTGAAAGATATAATATCAAATAAACATTTTTCAGGAAATATCCAAGCCATAAAACTGAAATAAACCTGTTTTGATAGTAGTTTTGACTCAAAAACATCAGAATAAAAAATAAATTAGAAGAAAATAAGCCAATAAAAGAAGTGGAAATGATGATTTTCATATTAATTTGATTACTTTTGCGTTTTTGGTGATTGAAGGCTATGACAAACGGAAGGTTGGTGAGCGTGAGACACAGAGCAATGACAAACTCCTATAAGTCAAGGATGTCCATTATCTATTTTGCTGCACCCGAACTTCATACATGGATCACTCCTCTTCCAGATATGATCACAGCAGACAATCCTCGCCGCTACAAATCATTCACCTGGGCTGAATACAAGAAGGCCATGTATTCACTGAAGCTTGGACAGAATCGCCTTGACCGTTTTAAAATAGATACAAGAGAAGGTGATGCTCAAGTATTTAATCATAACAGTTTGCAAGGATTTGATGAGTGAAGGTGTCAGGTTATAGTTTTTCCTGAGTGAAGCATCCAAAGTTTTGTTATAGTTTGGGAGCGGTGATGTAGTGCGGGTGCCGGACTGCTTGTTGTAAGAAATTAACGGAACAGTTGAATAATGCTGCAAGAATGTTTTTGGGTGTAATATTCATGCTTTTACCATAACTTTAAAAGAATAGAGATAATACCCACTTGATTTTACAAATGCCACTAAAAAGTTCCCAGAAAAATCAGTTCTCAAAATAAGCAATGAAACAAATTTAAGAAAATAAAGGGCACAAAAGCAAAACATGCACTAGAAGATCCAGTCATGCAAATCCACATTCCCTCCAACTCCAAGCTCCAATGAAAATAGAGCAGATGAAGAGACCGGAGCATTGGAGGTGACTTGAGAATTCAACCAAAGTTCTGCTTATAGTTGTGGAAAAATGCATGCTTAAAAATGCCCTCAAATAAAGGCCACCACCCAAAAGAATTTGCAGTGTGAGTTAAGGAGGTCTCAACCATAACAGAATATTGCATTTGGACTTAAAGAGGCAGGATAAACTGTAAATTCATCCTAAAGAGCTAGCTCAAACGTTTTCATTATTTCATTTTAATATCGCCTCAAGCTTCAATAAAAACACATTAAGCATGAAAGAATGAAGAATTTTCAAATTAACATGAAAGAACTAGGGAAAATAATTCCTTATACAAGATTAAACTCATATACATTTCAGAGGCTAATCCACTTCAAAAACAAAAGAACTGCACAAAATCTCTTTTCAGCCCTAAAGAACAGAGCACTGCATGCACAAGAACCTTCCCAGCGAAAAGAACATCACTACAAGACATAATGCAAAACTATCGATCCATGAATTACTAGAAATAGAGATATATGAGAGGAGTAAGTAAATACTACTGCAAAATATAAAAAAAATGGAAGAAAGCAAGAACAATAACAATAACAACAAGACTTTATCCCACGAAGTGAGGTAGGCTACATGAATCTTTTTTCTCGATTGTGTATTATTGAGTGTCATATTTTCATTTAATTCTAAAAAAATAAGATCATTTGTTATAAATCTTTTTAGGTCTACCTCTACCTTTCTTAACATAAGTTGAATCTAAAACATTTACTCTCCTAACTGGATTATCATATGGCTACGTAATAATGTGACCAAACCATCTAAGACGACTCTCTCTAATCTTGTCTGCCACTAAAGCTACACCAACCCTTTCACAGATACATTCGTTTCGCATTTGGTCATCAAGTGTCAAGCCACTCATCCATCTAAGCAACACTTAACTTAGTTTTATGCTTCTCTTTTATAGGCCAACATTATGCGTCATAAAGCATTGCAAGACTTAACACTATCTTATAAAATTTTCCTTTAAGTTTAAGCGATAATTTTCTATCAAACAATAGGCCCACGGTTTCCTCCACTTCAACAACCCAAATTCTACAAATAACAGGCCCATCAATGTCACCATCACTTTGAACAATAGACCTAAGATATCTAAAACATTCACTCTTTTTCATGATTTGATCACAAATTGTTACAACTCTGCCACTAGATATACTATTAATAAAATTACACTCCACGTAATCAGTTTTAGGTTTACTCAAACGAAGACATTTAGAATCTTACTCTTTCTCTAGTCTTAACCACAAGAAGGATACATCAACGAAAAGCATACACTAAGGAACATCCTTATATAAACGTTCAATAAGAGAATCCAAAATTAAAGAAAAAAGATATGGGCTCAAAGTCGATCCTTAATGTAATTCAACTAAAATATAAAAATAATTGGTCAATCCTCCTCCTGTTCGAACACAAGTAACAAATCTAGCATACATATCTTTAATGGCTTCAATATAAGTCATATCAACACATTTCTTTTCTAGAACTCTCCAAAAAACTTTTCTTGAAACTTTATAGTAAGCTTTTTCTAAGTCGATAAAAATCGTATGTAGATCCTCCTCACTCGCTCTGTACTTCTCCATCAAACCTCTCAATAAATGTATAGTTTTGATAGTAGACTTGCCCGACATTGATTATGAAAAATCTTTATATCGCATGTTAAGCAGTGTTCAATTACTCTCTCCCATAATTTTAATGTATGACACATTAACCTAATTCCTCTATTATTTGCACACCCTTGTGTATCCCTTTTATTCTTAAAAATGAGATCAAAATACTCTTCCTCCACTCATCAGACATCCGTTTAGTTATAAAAACAATAGTAAGTTGGAATTTTTACATGCATAACACGTGAAACTTTTAAATTTATATATCTCACACTTAAATCTTTAATATTACAGATTTGGAACTCAGTTTAGTCTTTTCATCACTTTCTAACGAATCCTGATGGCAAAGTCTCCCTCTGACAACCTGCTCTCCCCTCCGCCAGAGATGAAATACGAGGTTGCAGAAGAGCAGTTGAACCTCAGCCTAAGCATAAGCAAAACCAAAAAGAGAAAGAAAGCAGATCACGAAATCTCCTCACCCAACGAGAATCTCACCATAGCCGATGTTCTTCAAGCCCGCAACCGCATCTTCCATCACACCACCCCCACCTTCCTCAACTACAACAATAATGGAATACATCTCATATGCCTCATACTCTTCTCCGCGGCCACAACTGACTGCCATGACTATTCCTCGACGGTTTGATCTCTCCATCTCTACCCCTACCTCTCCCTCTCCGGCGATCCCATCCAATGCATCGCCACTTAATTATCCAACTCTATCCTATCGACTGTCCTGACTCCCTCCTCCCCTTCACATACTCCCCACTTCCCTTCCCCCTCTCCCCATGAAGACTTTTTCTCCTCCACCTTCCTCCCTGCACCGCTTACCTCCAATTTGCTAACTTCAACACCAACCAAACATTATCAAAGTGTTCGAAGATGAGGAGTATTGTAATGGAGGATCTCTTCATGTCATCAACTTCGAAGTCTTCTATGGTTTCCAATGGCCCTCTCTAATCCAATCTTTGGTTGATAATGCGAAGACCAAAAAGCCTTTCAAGCTTTGAATCCGAGGGTTTGGCAGCATCATTCTGAGCTAAAAGAAATGGAAATGCTAAACGGAGCCGATCGGCGGAGGGAAGAGTAGGTCACCGGAGAAGACTTTGCCGGAGGGAGGGAGGGTCATTAGAAAATGACAAAATGCTAAACGGAGTTCGAATTTCATAATATTAAATATTTGAATATGAGATATGTAAATTTCGAAGTTTCACGTGCTATATATGTAAAAATCCCTATAAAGTTTCGTAAGCCAAGAAACTCTCAAATCTCCTAAATATTTCAACATTTTTATTGGGACATTAGGCCCTACAGATTTAAATGAAGAATATTATATTTATATCCATAGTACGAATTTGGAAATTAGCTTTATTGATGTTATGTTCTGTTGATTACAAGAAAAACAAGCCCTTCAAGTACTCTAATCACATATCCTCTTACCACAAAGCTTTTCAACTTCAGCCCTGATACAAAAATCAACACATCTATTATGCCAACGTTATGTGCCCAAACCATCTAAGATGGCTCTCTCTGATCTTGTCTGCCACTAGAGCCACACCAACCCTTTCACGGATACATTCGTTTCACGTTGTCTCATCAAGCCACTCATCCACCAAAGCATTCTCATCTCAGCAACACTTAACTTAGTTTTATGCTTCTCTTTTATAGGCCAACGTTATGCGCCATAAATCATTGCAGGTCTTACCATCTTATAAAATTTTCCTTTATGTTTAGGTGATAATTTTCTATCACGCAATAAGCCCATGCTTTCCTCCACTTCAACCACCCAACTTGAATTTTACAAATAACAACCCCATTTATATCACCATCGCTTTTAACAATAGACCTAAGATATCTAAAACGTTCACTCTTTTTCATGATTTGATCACATATTGTTACAACTCTACCACTAGATATACTGCTAATAAAATTACACTCCATGCAATCAGTTTTAGGTCTACTCAAACGAAGACAGTTAGACTCTTACTCTTTCTCTAGTCTTGACACAAGAAGGATACATCAACGAAAAGAATACATTAAGGAACATCCTTCTGTAAATGTTCAATAAGAGAATCCAAAACTAAAGAAAAAAGATATGAGCTCAAAGTCGATCCCTGATGTAATTCAACTAAAATATAAAAATAATTGGTTAATCCTCCTCCTGTTCGAACATAAGTAACAACTCTAGCATACATATCTTTAATGATTTCAATATAAGTCATATCAGCACCTTTCTTTTCTAGAACTCTCTAAAAAACTTCTCTTGAAACCTTATAGTAAGCTTTTTCTAAGTCAATAAAAATCATATGCAGATCCTCCTTTCTCGCCCTATACTTCTCCATCAAACCTCTCAATAAATGTATAGTTTCCAATAAATGTATAGTTTCCATGTGTATAGTTTCCATGGTAGACTTGCCCGACATAAATCCAAACTGATTATGAGAAATCTTTATATCGCATCTTAACTAGTGTTCAATTACCCTCTCCCATTATTTTAATGTATAGCACATTAACCTATGTTCACTATTAATTGCACACTTTTGTGTATCCCTTTTATTCTTAAAAATGAGATCAAAACACTCTTCCTCCACTTATCAAGCATCTTTTTAGTTATAAAAATAATATTAAGAAGTTGGGGTTCTTACATGCATAGAAAATGAAACTTTTAAATTTACATATCTCACGCTTAAATCTTTAATATTTTAGCATTTTCATCGTTTTCTAACGGCTCCCGATGGCAAAGTCTCCCTCTGATGACTTATTCTTCCCTCCGCCAAAGATGAAATGCGAAGTTTTATAAGAGCAGTTGAACCTCAGCCTAAGCATAAACAAAACCAAAAAGAGAGAGAGAGTAGATCACGAAAGCTCCTCACCCAATGAGATCTCACCATAGCCAACGTTCTTCAAGCCGGCAATCGCATCTACAACAGTAATGGCCTACATCTCATATGCCTCATACTCTTCTCCGCGGCCACCACTGACTGCCATGACTATTTTGCTGTGGTTTGATCTCTCCTCCATCTCTACCCCTACCTCTCCCTCTACGGCGATCCCATCCAATGCATCGCCACTTACTTATCCGACTCTATCCTGTCAATTGTCCTCACTCCCTCCTCCCCTTTATATCCTTCCCACTTCCCTTCCCCCTCTCCCCATGATGATTTTTTCTCATCCACCTTCCTCCCTGCACCACGTGCCTCCAATTTGCTCACTTCACCGCCAACCAACCATTATCAAAATGTTCGAAGATGAGGAGTATTGTAATGGAAGATCTCTTCATGTCATCGATTTCGAAGTCTTTTATGGTTTCCAATGGTCTTCTCTAATCTAATCTTTGGCTGATAATGCGAAGAACAAAAAACCTTTCAACTTTGAATCACAGAGTTTGGCATGATCGATTCTGAGCTAAAAGAAATAGAAATGCTAAACAGAGCCAATCGGTGGAGGGAAGAGTAGGTCGCTGGAGAAGACTTTGTCGGAGGGAGGGCCATTAGAAAACATCAGAACTCTAACGGAGTTCGAATTTCATAATATTAATAATTTGAGTATGAGATATGTAAATTTGGAAGTTTCACATGCTAGGTATATAAAAATCCCTAAAAAGTTTAGTGAGCTAAGAAACTCTCAAATCTCCTAAATATTTCAATATTTTTATTAGGATGTCATTAGGTCCTACTGATTTTCTTGAAGATTATATTTATATCCACAATATGAATTTGGAAATTAGCTCTATTGATGTTATGCCCTGTTAATTACAAGAAAAACAAGCCCTTCAACTACTCTGATCACATATCCTCTT